CAGATCAAGCCAATCAACTGTCTCACCTATTCAGAGGGCCTGATCCAGTTGGGGGCCCCTCAGCCTTTGGTTCATAGTTCATGTGTTTCCATTCATTTGGTTATTTGTCCCTGTGCTTTATCCAACCTTGGTTTCAACAATTCTCGCTCATATAAACCCGCCTCTTTCTCAATAATTAGACTCCCAGTGAAGTCTTTGACTCTTTAGTGTAGCTGTGGGATAGTCATATAGCATCATTGTTTATGCTATATGCTACATTGTATATGTACCATATAGCATGATTACAAAGGAGATTTCTTTGATTACTCTAATTACACATTAAAGATATCAGGTTGTACTTGCAAGCAAGAATCCAAAATCTACCACAAGGTCTATAGAGATGCAATCTCAAAGAACTTAGAATATTACTGAATTCAGATACTGTGTGTGACTCCTTATTGTATGATAATGAAAGTTTTAACTAATCTACTCTACTTTTTCTATGTGGTTTTTTGTCCAACATGAAAAGTAAGATTCATTTAATTACTTTTAATTTTTATTATTTTTAAAAAAAAATATTACATCAAAATCATTTTTAATTTTAAATAATTAACATAAATAATAGTATTTAAAGACCTATATTTGAATAGTCTATATGAAAATATTTGATTTAAAACTAATTATTATTGTAGTATATGTTTACAATTAAATCAACTAATAAAACAGTGAGATAATTCTGAAAATATGTATTTATTTTGTTTGTGTTATATATAATATTTTATTTAACAATTTGATAATTTTAAACATATTCAAAGTGATTTTAATCAGCACAATTATAATGTTACTGACTTTGGTTAAATTTAACATAGAGGTAAATAAACTTTATTGAAATGGATATAGAATATTAAACACATTCAGTATTTTATTCATCTTTTACTGATATTTTAGTTTACTAGTTTTTTTTACAGGGAAAAGACCCCATTGAGTAGTAAAACAGCTAGATAAATTGACACCCTGGCCCAAGTGATGATTTCATTCATCAGGACAAATTTGAACTGTTGAACTCTGTGTGATAGATATGAAATGCTTCTCCTTTACAAGATTTTTCTTAGGAGGAAATTGTAGTATGATGAAGGGCAATTTATTCCAGGGGAAGTACCTAATTTATGAGGAATGCAGTTCTCACTTTTGCTACATTGCAAAATTGTTTTGTCTGTTTGCTTATCTCTGACTCTGATTCTCTCAGCAGATCTTGACAGAGCAGGGAAGGAGTTTTATTAAGGGCCTGGGCAATAAAGATTCAATAGAACTCTTGAGACACAATGATATTTTTTTCCTGTATGGAAGGATGTCTTCTTTCCTAGAGACTGTGACCAGCTGGGATGATGCTATTTGCAGCTTTGCATTCCCTCCAAGAAAAGCATAAAGTACAGTGAAAGGTTGGTGAGCATAGCTTTATTTTATCCAGAATAACTTCTTGTATTACTTCGGTTTATTTCTTATCATGTTCCCTTCTAGTCATACTTGTAAATCCTATTGAATTTAAATAGACATGGGTAATATGTCAACATTCTGTTTATATACTCCAGAATAAAATGTATCTTTCCATGAAAACACCAGGCTAAACTATGAATTCATAACAAGTGCATAGAAAAGAGTCCTTTGTTGTGTTTCAGTGGTTTGAAATGTGGTTCTGGGACATAAACATTAGGGCAGTGCACAGAAAGCCAAATGTTTAATAGTATCCCTCTTACTCTGTAATGAACCACAGATAGAGAATCAGGAAATAAGGAGGCTTCTTTCAGGATGGGGTATCCAGTGTACTGATGGACATTGTGGTCTCTGGATTGTTTATACCTCTATGTGTATTTTTAATTGGCATTTATAGTCCTCATATATAAAGAAAGTCAAGTAAAATAATAATTGGAATTCTAAATTCAGTATAAAGCAACCACTATTTATAGTTTGGTTCTTATCTGAAGGAAAAACATGTATCTTTTTTTGTAAGTGCCTTCTACACAGTAGATTTTGCTGCTATCTCAAGTGGTACGCAGTTTGATGCATCCAATGCTGGCCTTGAACTAACTATGTAGTCGAGGATGATCTTCAGTTTTTTCCTTCCTTCTCCATCTTCTAAATGCTTGGATCACGAGAATAAAAACATAAAAAAAGTCCAATTACCCTTGGCTCTTCTCTGGGCTCTATTCTTGGCCTCTTGGTACTTATTTCTCTCCTAGTCCCCTCGCCCCTCTCCTCTCTTCATCCTTTGCTCTCCCACCTCTCTCTATTCTCAAAACCCAGCCTATTCTGCTGGCCATCTCAGTCTGGACTCTCCCAGACGCTTCTGGCTGTGTTCGCCTTCATATTTACAATAAAGCCCTTCTCTTCAACCATAAAAAAGTTCAATTCCTAAATATGCCCTCTTCTAAATATTTATATTATTTACAATAATTTATATCATAAGTAGTATTACAAAAACTGCATCTATACAAACTTTCTACCATTATAATATTTTCATAAACACCGAAAAGTATATAAAGCAAATTGTATCATGCCATTTCCAAATGAAAAATATGTTGAGAGATAGATACTTCACGCTGATTCATAATTGGTCATTTGTTCATTAATTTCATAATATACCCTAAAATGGTATGAATGGACTAAAGATGGAATGAGAAACAGGAGAGACTGCCTCTCCTAAAAGTGTGTGTTTATAACATCTTTCTAATTCCAAGATTTTTATTCTGTAATTATTTATTTTACCATTAGAGTTATGAGAAAGTATGATAAACTAATATATTACTTTGAGGGAAAAAATGAGTTTACTTTTCCTCCTACTCTTATGCCTTCTAGCATTCCATGTATTTATTATACATCCTTTGACTCAGTCTTTTAAAGTATGAAGCTGGATTGAAGGACATAGGTTGTTGTTCCTTTTAGCTAGGTTAGTTCCTTTGGAAGATACATTAATTTCTAAGCACATATCAAACTACTACAAAGTGAAATATCTAAGTACAAAGAAATGCTTAAATTACCATAGACACTGAATCTTACTATGACTATACAGCCTACTAAATTCATCTAGGCACCCAATGTTGTTCACTCTTAAGTAATTCCATATAGTTTCCTCACCTTCCTACCTATGTTATACCACAATTTTTTTTGGAATACCCAGTTGTTCATTATCTCTTATCATTCTGTATTGACCACTTTAAATCAACCAGAAAAGGTTGGCAGATCTATCCTGTTTTCAGCATCTGCTGCCAAACACTGCTTTATATCATTTCCACAGGTTAACTTTCTTAATAGGCATATGAAACTCAGTCTTCCAGGGGTTCAAACCCAACACTCTAACAGTCAAGACACTACTCTGATGATTTACATTTTCCTTAACTCTTTCCTCTATTTCCTAGATGACTCCATCGCCACATTTATACTCCGCTGTTCAAATATTTATAAACATAATATCAATAAAATAAGCTAGGTTAAAACTTTTTGTGGCTTTTACATGTCACTATATCCCTTCCAGGTTCAGAGCAAAAACATTTTAAAAGTTTATATTCATTGACTTTGAATTTTCCTATTCTTCTCTTAGTTGCTTGTTTGCTTCATTTTCATAACAAATGATCTTTAAGACAATCATGTTTTCTTATTAAATGTAATGGCCAATTAGTTCTCAACACTTATTTTCCTGCCCCAGAAAGAGGTTGACCCTTGTGTTGTTTCAAGTTTTTCATTTGGCTTTGGGATCACAACAATGCCTGGCCTTCACAGCTGTTCACTCTATGAACTCTGTGCTCTGTGCGCTTGCAATTCCTTCCACATACTCCATGATCTGCTCTTCAGGTCCTTGTCTGTTGCTGTCATAAAATATGATGGTCAAGTCAACTTATCTAAGAAGTTCATTTTGCTTTATGGTGCCAGAGTCTATTGTGACAGGGAAATATGGCAGCAAGCCGTAGGCATGGCAATCTGAACAGGAAGCTAAGAGCTCTTTTACCTCAGGCATGAAGCTGAGAGAGCAAACAGCACTGGGGATGATCTATAAACACTCAAAGTCAGGGACAAACTTTTTCCAACAAAGTTGTCCTTCTAAACCTCCCCAAAGAATGTCACCAAACAGGAACAAGTGTTTAAATATCTGAGACAGTGCAGACTACAATCTACTAAGTGATTGTGTCTCAGGTCTTTGTCCATGGTTTTCTGGCCTCTGTCTTTGCCTTCTCTCTCTCTCTCTCTCTCTCTCTCTCTCTCTCTCTCTCTCTCTCCTTCCTAGTTTTTAGTCCTTAAACACCAATTAACTATGAGATTCTTGGGCTTGACTCCTCATCCAACATATGAGTCATAAACTTGTTTTACATATGAGTAGCTTATTTACATAATGGCTTAAGTGACAGAAACACTTTAATAACAATAATATGTGGTGGTATTGTGTTCCCCAAAATATTGTGCACCCTAATAAACTTATCTGGGGTCAGAACAGAATAGCCACTAGATACAAAGGCTAGAAAATGGTGGCACTCACACCTTTAATCCTAGCATTCCAGAGGCAGAAATCCCTTTAGATCTCTGTGAGTTCAAGGCCACATTGGAAACAGCCAGGCAAGGTGACACAGGCCTTTAATCCCAAGAAGTGAGCCTTTAATCCCAGGGAGTGATGGCAGAAAGCAGAAAGATATATAAGGTGTGAAGACCAGAAACTAGAAGCTTTTGGCCTGGTTAAGCTTTTAGGCTTTGAGCAGCATAGTTCAGCTGAGATCCATTTGGATGAGGACCCAGAAGCTTCCAGTCTGAGGAAACAGGATCAGCTGAGAAGTTGCCCAGGTGAGGTTAGCTGTGGCTTGTTCTGCTTCTCTGATCTTCCAGCATTCACCCCAATACCTGGCTCAGGTTTGATTTTATTAATAAGTACCTTTAAGATTCATGATACAATAATACACAGATGTATTAGTCTAAATATCCAATATATATATATATATATATATATATATATATATATATATATAATTTTTAAGGGAGAAGGATTTTTACAGGTGTGAATTTAAAAAAATACATGATGATTTCTCTACTTAGTTTATTTAAGACAGCTAGATGTAGTTCTTCCTAAAAGTGGAGAATCCACTGCGTCTTAAGAATGGCTAGAAAGATGCCTTATCATTGGATTTGAGTTAGAAGAAACACAAGAATAGAACACTGAGGGCCATGGACATGCATGGTGCTGATGTGGACATAGGCTTGGGTCAAGATTGGGGAGGGAACTATGAATGTGCACAAAAGGGCTGATACTTAATATCTAGCGAACCCGAAAGTAAACTACAATGTATTTAATCTGTTATATAAATATTTCTTACAGAATGCCACTTATTTTGTGATCTACCTAAAAGTAATCCTTAAGGTATGAGGCACATGTCTTTAGCTTTCTCTTTGCAACTCTGTGTGTATTTATGCAGTACTGTAGGCTTACATCTGAGGAGTTTTTTTTTTCTAGTCTGCATATATGAGCTTGTGTATAGTCTTCATGTGACTAGGTGCCTGCCAGCATCTATCTAGGTAACCGTCTATGTGGTGCCTCCACCTAGAGTGATTCAAGCATGCCTTATCTGCCCATGGCTCCCCCCAATCTTTCCAGCATCTTTCCTGGCCTCCTGTTACCCTCTTCCTCTCCTAGTTGGGAGTTTGAGTCAATGAACCAAAGGTCAGGGCTGTTTTTTAGAAGTTGGACAGGAATTGACTCCTCAAGAATCTCTAAAAAGAAGTGGAAGTCTGCTAGCATCTTAGTGGAAGACTGGTGTAATAAACTCCCTGTCAGAACTTCAAAACAGTAAATATTGATTACTTAAGTTGTGGGGTATATGTTTTTTGTTATATGGATGTAGAAAACCAGTGTAATCCAAAATAAAATATTGTTCCCAAATTTCTGCTTGATTCATGAGCAAATCAAATCGATGTACACATTTAAAAAAATCTGACACTAGCTCAAATAATGATTTTGTTTGTCATTTTTTAGACTAGAAGATTTGAATTTAGGTAAAGAGATATTATTTCAAATAGTAACCCATGTAACACCAGCTTTCACATTTGACTCTTTTTCCCTAAACAATATAGTCTCCTATGGTTTAAGTGAGTATGTGTTTTCCTTTTCATTTACAATATAAAATTCAATATAATTGATGAAAAAGTTAGGACATAAGGTTTCTTACTTTATTTTATCAGTTATTATTCCTTTCCATGCTCTTATAATTCCTTCCTTTCTTCCCTGTTTTAAACCTTTATTCCAAATGAATTTGAGTTTATACATTGTAAAATTCTGATTAAACACATTAGGAATAAATTTAGAATTATAATTCATTTGTTGGCGATAAATGTCACCATAAAAATATTTCCCTATCAAATTAGTTTAAAAATGTGGACTAGCTAAATCATAATACTGTGAATAATG